GTGGTCAGATGTATTGCCAGTGCTTTTAAGGTGTTCTTATGCACCATACCTCTGTGATGCTCATATAGTTTTTATATTATAGCAAAAAAGTGATGACAAAGAAATTCTTTGTATATTTTTTTTTTTTGACATGTGGGAGCACAATAAAGATATTAGAAATCACAAAAGTTTTGACTGCTCTTGGAACCATCATCTACATTTGATATTAAATAGCGTTTTTTGACCTGGCTCAATTTCAAATCCAGCAGACATTAATGACCTCTGTGCAAGAATCAGCAGTGCTCTGGTTATGGCACCTGATAAAACCCTTTGTCTTCCCCATCTTTTCCCCTCATATATGTATCTCTTTCTCTGGTCAGATGACGTCAACAATAAGGACAGTAGTAAACTGGTCCCTCAGAATTACTACGCATTAATATAATTAGAACAAATGTTTGAAGACTCGCATGTGAAAATCTAATAAGGAATTAACTAAATATGTTGTCATTTTTGGTGTAAACTAGTGGAAAATAAATGCGCAATGTGTGTCACAACCCATATGATGCCAGAATAGAGTTTTCACTTAATATCACACCAGGTAAAGAGTTGAAATAATATGACCTCCAGGCTGATTTTGAATCATGTTACTGAACTAGCTGCATTGATATATATAGAGGTAAGTGCAAAGTCTCTCTTAGACGGATAAGAATGTAAGAAATAGATTTCAGAAGAGGGGCTATGGGGTCCAGTCAGTTATGTGCCATGTGTGATACATGCTTAGACGATAATGTATCTTTTGATACATGACTGACGAAGCAGATTTTTTCCCCCTGCAGTAGGTTGCCATTTTATTCTGCAGTAGACCAGTTGCCATTCAAGGCTATAGAACCTGGTCTGTCTTGCTATTTACCCATAGCTGGGGGGAGAAGAAGAGGATTCATACCTTTCCCAACATAAGTGAATGCAATGGATTTGACTGGAATTCGAACTTGGCTCTCCGATTCCTCAATCTGAGCCGTTATCCATTACTACACTGTGCCTCCTATGGGGCCCACAGCCACAAATACTGGCTGAGAGTAATTGATGAAGTACAGGAAGGAAATAAAATGTAATGTGAAATATGAGTGTTTTCATTAATAATGGAAGAACTTTGTTACAAATGTCATTCGCTAGAAAAGTGATGAAATTATACTTTTAGAAAAAAACAAAGGCTTTTTTTATGAATCATGCTTCAAAAAAGGAAAAGTTAAAAAAAAAAAGAAAAAGAAAAATCATTTGCTGTGGGTTAAACAAATATCAAAAACATGACAGACTGCAATTTTCTGGAAAGAGAAATATAAACAAATGAGGAGGATTTAACTTGAAGTTGCTCATTCATTTCTTTTTTAAGTTTTTTTTTTGGGGTACATTAACCCTGAGTTAGTCACCACAAATTTCCAAAAATGTATAGTCCCCTGAGGTGCTTATACACCCCAATACAAAAATCCTTATAGTATTACAATTATGTAAAATATTTTCACACTGCTGAAAAAAGATAACATAACAGGTAATCTCCATTACAATATACATTCAATCTAAATTTGAACTGAAGATATAATTATTCATTGAAATGAAAATTATCAATTTGTTGCATAAACATATGTTATAAATGGTATGTGAAATGCACCAATAAATAATAGGGAAAATTTTTATTCACCAAAAATAACCACAAAATATATTTCCATGAATTGAAATGGAAAGAAAAAAAAAATGAACATGGGCTCATTTTATAACCATTACCATTGTCATATGCCCCAGTTGACGAATGGGTTATAGGGCGACCATATGCTGACTAGGAGATATATACACTCTCACACCTGTGGAGAGAGAGTGGACAATTGGTAAACAAAAAAAAAGTATTTTAAGACTACTGTTCCATTGGGATAATCGAACAGTAATCTTTCCCAGGTCCACTTCGTTTTCAACACAAATACTGATCCACAATCAAGGAGGAACATAAGGCTTAGCGATTTGATACAATAATTTTAATATATACAAATATACATATATCAAAAATATAAAAGAACAGATAAGTATGAGTTAAACTATCCGACGACCAGATCTCGAACTTATTTGGGATATCAAATTACTTAACACCAAATGGATTCAACTGAACCCTAACATATAAAGTACAAGTATGAATTACTATGAATTGAATGCAGAAGCCAACGCACATACATAAAAAGAGATGGGATAGTAATTATAATTATTGTTTTACATGTGGAAAGGTGTTTGCGAAAAAAAATATAATATTCATGTGTGTGTGTGTGTGTGTGTGTGTGTGTGTATATCTTTTATACTACGGATCCAAAATGTGATTACTTATCTTTTGTATTCAGTTCTCTCTTTTTTTTTTCTTTCTATATATATATCAATGTCCTTTCTTTTCTTTTCTCGGCACAAACACCATTTCATACACTGCCAGTCTGTAATAGAGGTATACACTTTCTTCCTCTCTTGTTTCGTCTTTTTCCTTCCTTCCTTTTCTTCTGTAGACGGCTCGGTTTGTAACAGGGATGTACACTTTCTTCTTCTTTTTACAAGTTAGCTTATAACGGAGGTATACGCGCAGGTTGAATCATCAACACATCTTTTCTAAAATCTAATATGTCTTCACATTGGGATTTTCGAACATGTTATTTCCTTATATTCCGTGTCCGGAGTTGCCTGGATAGAACTAGATAAGTCATCACTATCGAATGCATCTTATCTTTCCGTTCATGAACCACTAGGATCTTGGCTTCGGTCTTGCTTTTTCAAAGTCCAGATAACAACTGTTCCTCGAGTGAATCTTTTGACTGTCACGTGTCTTAGTTTTTTACGCCAATTTTACGCATTTCCATCCCCTGTCTAGACAGTTTCCGTTACGGGTAATTGGGTCAGTCGATCTTTCGACCTGCCTTCCCAAAATGTCATAAGACTTCACATAATCTTTATTTTGTTGCTAGGCGGAAATTAACCTTCATATGCGCGTCTAGGCTATCTGCTTTCAATGTCCGTCACACCATTCACTCTGATTCACTACCGTTTGCTACATTCTTGCAATTTAGGCAACTCAAATCATCTTACTGTGATCATTGCAAACATGTTACCCTCAGTTGCTGCATACTGTTTTCACCTTTTAATCCTTCGACCGGATACAAAATGCACATCTCTATATCTGACTTTGTAATGACTGTAATATTGTAGAGCTTGTTGCAGCTGAGAGCAATCCTGAAAATTTACCTTCATTAGTCAAGTGGGATGACAAGACAGCTCAAAGAAGATAATGGCATCTGCTTCAAATGACAACTGAACTATAACCGTACCACACCACATGCTACAAACCCTCACCAAGCCAGGAAACTAGTAGTAGGGAGCAAAAGAAACAAGTTCTCAACTAGAAATTACAAGTACTTAAATTTTGTGGTAACAAAACACCCCACATGACTAACACAGGGTTAAACATGCAAATATTTTTAGAAAGTTAGAAGCTTTTTTTTCTGTTTTACACAGGCACACATGCACAAAAAATAAAGTTAATAATTTTTGGCAACTTAATTAAACAGCAAACACTTACCTTATCAATTTGAACGCGCATTGTTTTTTTTCGAAATTCTGCTTCAGTTGGAAGGTTTTCCCAAAGCCGATGTGATGAGTCATATTTCTGTTTAAACCGTGGAAAGTGTTCAAACATATAATCAATAATGAATAACTTGATGCCAATAAGGATTCCTGCAAAGGAAATAAGAATTTTTCGAGGCAATTAAAAGAGAAAAGTAAAAGATGGAAATTTAGGAAACTTCAGTTTCATCTGAATTGAAATTATGACTATCAATCTGTCACAAGCATTGGGCAAGTTTATGATTATGTATTGATAATTCAAGTACATTAGTCAAATTTTTAAAAATCTAATTTACAAATTTTCACTATTTTTTACCCATTACTTGAAATGTATTTCATTTGAAAAAAAGTGAAACTCACACAAACACATACAAAAAAGGTTTGAAAAATATTTTCTCAGTTTGGTTAATAAATAATAAATCTGATTGGATGCCAATGACAGAATATAAACATAAATCTGATTGGATGTCAATGACAGAATATAAACATAAATCTGATTGGATGTCAATGACAGAATATAAACATAAATCTGATTGGATGTCAATGACAAAATATAAACATAAATTTGATTGGATGTCAATGACAGAATATAAGTATGTATAAATTCTTGGTTAATAAAATTGCAGTTTTTATATCCAATTTAATGTTCTCTCTTAAATTCTTTATGGAAGTAAGAATGGTTACATTTTGTGGTCCAAAGAAAAAATGACAAATATTTTTCGTGTTGAGACATAACTGATTGTTATCTTTATTTTAATATATATGCAGATTAGTGGTGTATCAAGTCAGAATTAATCTCATTATGATCAGCAAAATTAATTTATTAACTATAAGTTTACAGCAATCAACCAAGGAAAGATTGCTTATGGCAAAAATAATAAAAACTAAGTATTAAGCTCTTTAGGGAAGTCAAAAAAATGAGAGAGAGGGTGAGAGGGATTAAAAAATGAGAGAGAGAGAAGGCGAGAGGATTAAAAAACAAGAAAGAGAGAAGGAGAAAGGGATAAAAAATGGGAGAGGGTGACACGGTAAAAAGAAAAAAAAAAATCGGAGAAGGCGACACGTAAAATAAACGAGAGAGGGCGAAATGGAAAAAAAAAAAAAAATGGAGACAGCAAAATGGAGACACGAAAACAAGTTAGAGTGTGACATAGAGAAAAAAAACAAGAGTGGGTGACACAATGAAAAATAATTGAACCCTTATTTCTTGTCAGTCAGGTGATTTAAACTTAAAATTTATCATTTTTTAACTGTACCATGTAGAAATCTTGCTGAAAGTATTCTAGGCAGTTTCTGACAAGGAAAGAAACTTTCAGCTAAATGTCTACTTTCTACATTTAAACAAAATTTGACACTTTCATTACTCTTACCTACAGGAAAAGAAATTAAAAAAAACAAACATAAAAAAACAACAAACATAAAAAACAGAAAATGCACAAAAAAGGAAAAAAAACGGAAGAAAATGGGGAAAAAAACGAAAGAAAATGGGGAAAAAAACGGAAGAAAAGGGGGGAAAAACGGAAGAAAAGGGGGGAAAAACGGAAGAAAATCGGAAAAAACGAAAGAAAAGGGGGGAAAAAAACGGAAGAAAATGGGGAAAAAAATGAAGAAAATGGGGAAAAAACGGAAGAAAAGGGGAGAAAAAAACGGAAGAAAAGGGGAGAAAACGGAAGAAAAGGGGAGAAAAACGGAAGAAAAGGGGGAGAAAAACAGAAGAAAATGGGGAAAAAACGGAAGAAAAGGGAAAAAAAAACAGAAGAAAATGGAGGAAAAATAGAATAAAATGGGAAAAAAAGAACAGAATAAAATGGGAAAAAAAGAACAGAATAAAATGGGAAAAAAAAGAACAGAAGAAAATGGGAAAATAAAATTTTAGTGATTACAATTTTTAAAAAAATAGTAAAAATAGCATACTTTTTTTTTTCTGCTAATTGATTTTTAATTTTGCCTATTTGAAAGCTTCCTTGTTGACAATTAGAAAGAAAATCCTTGTTTGAATGGAATATTTACTTACCTATTACATAGAATATCATGCTAGCTTCAAAGAGACATGATACAATAAAAGCTAGGCAAATGGCAGAGAAGAGCTGTTTAGTGGCAGGGGGGTAACGCCAGGTCAATAGGCTGGAAAAATTCAGATACAAATAATAAATTATTATTTTTGTTCTTTCATCTAATGCCAACAAAATTTACATTAGTGACATTAGTTTTAATACTTTATACAGAAACTATGCAAGTGAGTGATTTCAAAAAATGGAAGAAAGACTTTCAACAATTTTCTTTTTTACTTTTACAATGCAAAATGAATGAGACAAAGAGAAAAAGATGAAGAAAAATATAACAAAAATATATGTCTATATTTCTGAGATGAGATATTATGTACACTACTTCCATTATTCAGACTATTGTCCTCATCTTTGTCGCCATATTTATTACAACCTTTCAGCCGTTGTATGCTCCGGCCTTCTTCAGGTGGTTGGGATGTCAAACTGAACCCTTTATTTCGCTCACTGGGGTAGACTGTTCTAGTTCCACGTGCCATGTTTAATGGATGTCAGTTATCAGTGATCTCCTGTTAATTCCCCTCTCCAAGTTCTCCACTGCCTTAGCCGGGTATTGAATTCACACTCTTTGGGTCCTGTCACTGGATCTAATCAATGCCTTTATCCACTGTGCCATGTGTAGGACACATGGCACAGTGGATAAAGGAACTTGGAGAGGGGAATTAACAGGAGATAACTGATAACTGACATCCATTAAACATGGCACATGGAACAAGAACAGTCTACCCTCGTGAGTGAAATAAAGGGTTCAGTTCGACATTCCAACCACCTGAAGGCCAGAGCGTACAATGGCTGAAACATTATAATAAAGATAGTGACAAAGATGAGGACAATAATCCGAATAATGTAAATAATGTACAAAAATATATATCGTAAAAATATATCGTAGTGCACATTTCAAATTTTTAGAATTATATTTTTATGGAAAAAATCAGAAGTTGATGGATAACAATTTCATTAATTTAAAATCTGTCTTCAATTGGAAAGGCTAAGGACAAACCTTAGCTTGACACACAAAATGTATTTCCCAGTTCTTACAAATAAATAAAGCAGATATAAAATAATATGTAGTAATTAGTAATGAAATTATTACCCTATAGCATGGCATATTGTAGCATACCTACAGATGATAATGGCTATGTCCCCATTCACATAAATACAGTAGTAAATACTGTATGTTGGTCTGCAGTTGGAGATTCATTGTGGAATTCACTTGACTCACTTCTACACACCACTGGTGAATCTTATATGTGTTGTTCTTGTCCTAAGTATTATCATTCCTTACCAACCTTTGTGTGATTATTCTATTCAGTAACCTTCTCTAGGTTACAACACATACAGAGTTAGCATGACACCTATCATACTTCAGCATTTGTATAATCATATTTTAAAAACTGTTTACCTGCTTTGATTCTATTTGTCTTGTTAGCTAATGGATGTAGGATCATAGCTTAAAAAATTATGCTAGATAGAAGCATGAATTTTATAACATTTACATAGACCATTTTAATAAAATTTATTCTGTAAAGGTGGAGATGTAATTTCCAATACTAAGATGGTGTCTGTATGCTTGAACTCAAGAGATGATTTTATGCTTACCATGCACAATTTACATAGCAAAAACAAAATAAATTTTTGGTTTAAACTCTTGTTACACGATAATGATATTCTCTTCATCCTGTGTTTGATTCAATTCATTCATGGAGATGGAATGTTTTTTTTGTTTTTTTTGCTGTAATGATCTCCACATTTCAATGGAAAGTCAGATGAAATCATGCAAAAAATAATCAACTCTCCCTTTTCTTTCTGTTGAAGTGATGTCTTTTTTTTCTTTTTCTTTTTTTACACTAATCCCTTTTTGAATGTTTTTTTTTTAAATCATTTCACCCCTAGCAAAGCAATAAAGTCACTAACTTGTAAGGAGGTTACTGAGTGTTAGAGAATATGAGAAAAAAAATCACTATTAAGGAGAGAGATCAAAAAAAAGAACAAGAATTAAGTCAGAAGATAACGATTGACATTGCATTTAAATTTTTTTTAGATCAAAGTTGACTGAGAAGCAAGAAGCTGGAAGAGAGTTCCATAAGCGAGAATTGCAACAGGAGAAACTGTTTGCATAGAACTTACATTTGCATCTAATCATTTCAAACATAAAATGATGAGACCTAGCTGTCAATCTAGTACTGCATTTAAATTTGTAAAGTTGAGGTAGCAAAGAGGAAAGTTCATCAAAATAATTACCATTATTTATAGAAAAAGATACAGGGAATCTGCATTATGATGGATGAGAAAGTAACTGAAGCTGAGATGCCAAGTCAGGATCAATAACATTGCAGATTCTTCTTTGGACTTCATCAGGAATTACTAAATACATGGAAGAAGCACTAGACCAGTTACAGTGGCAGGAAAATGATTGAAGCCAAGATGTCAGGTCAGGACCAATAAAATTGCAGATTCTTTTTTGTATTTTATCAAGAATCTATAAATATATAGCAGGAGCTCAAGATGTTGCAGCAATATTCAAAGCAAAACGTTTTCAATGTAACAAAGACTTACAATCTCTTTGGCCTAAGCTTAGTGAGTCTTCATTTAGTTTTATCCCATAAACGTTACTAGATTTTAATTTTAAAAAAATCAATAAATCTCAATATTTATGTTGATCAAAGGAGACTATTTACTTAAACAGAGTGGTCCACTTGCAAAAAAATAGGAGAAAATATTTTTGGAAATAATTTTTGTTGATTAGTCTTCCGTAGACTTTCTTTAGGTTGCAACACTTGTCAGAATTGAAAAATATTGATTTTTTTGTTGATTTAGAAGGTGGGGGCCTGTTTATAATATCAATACAATGCCAAATCTATTACTGACTTTTACATAGTTATTAGACCTAGCTGTTTTGTGTATGATAAGACTTTGTGGGTGATGGGTTTACAAAAAGATTTTTAAAAATATAGACCAGATATGTTAATAAAATTATGTATTGATTTATTCTTCATTTAAAAAAATAATTATTAACCTCAAATATTTAGGATGAGCTTCTAAAAAATCCCATACAAAAAAGTTAAGATATTTTTGAAAAAGTTTTAAAAAATTCCAGAAAGATTTAAAAATTCAGAAAATTAAAAAATTAGCAGATAACAATGATGTTACTAAAATTTCAAACTTAAAATTGGTAAATAACATCTAAGTAGGTATGTTCGGCTATTATCAGATTCACACTCTTCTTCAGTCTATTGGACAGGAGTAGAGGTTTGTCCCTGGTTTGGGACTGAATTTCCAGTTCCTTCTAAAGTCTTTTCATTCTCTCTTACTTCTAGTAGCCCCTTGTGTTTTAGTAGTATTGTCACCTTGCTTGGGGTGAATTGATTAAAAAAAAAAGAAAAAAAATGTAACTTAACCTAAATCCAATATCTCTAAAAGTCTGGTATCAAATTTACACTGTATCGATATTAGGAAAATGACTCCCATTTCAAAAAAGATGAAAAAGAATCCGTATTTTTAAATTCTGATAAATGTTGCAGTCTAAAGAATGATAATTTATAAAAATTCTTTCCAAAAAATTTTTCCCATTTTTATGAATGAACTAGTCTATTTAAGTAGTACCAATGAAAGAAAACCAAAAGAAAACTTTATATCTGACATATCAGCCACATCAGAATACAAGTATTGAATCTGAACAAATTGGAATACATCACAAGTTCCCATGCATCTATGCATGTTTTATTATTCATAACTGTTTTTCTATTACAAAATTTCTGTATGCCATCTTATTTGGTAAGTAAAAAGAAAAATGTTTGCAATGAATACATTTTGAATAGGAGATTGAAAATTTGACTCTTACCTATTTATTTTTTCTAACGTATCTGCCAAGGCACCGAGGGTATTCTGTTTAGGGTCAAGAAATTAAGACAGGATTAGAATTGATTCAACTATGAAAAATCAAAAAATGAACAAATTAAATTTTTTCTTGTTTTCACTCATCTGAACATTTTTGGCTACCTGAAGCACTAAATATTTTCTTTCACTCATAAAAGCCATATTTTTGGCTACCTGAAGCACGAGATTTTCTCTTTCTCTTATCTGAACATTTTTGGCTACCTGAAGCACATTTTCTTTCTCTCATCTGAACATTTTTGGCTACCTGAAGCAAATTTTCTTTCTCTCATCTGAACATTTTTGGCTACCTGAAGCACATTTTCTTTCACTCATCTGAACATTTTTGGCTACCTGAAGCACATTTTCTTTCACTCATCTGAACATTTTTGGCTACCTGAAGCACATTTTCTTTCACTCATCTGAACATTTTTGGCTACCTGAAGCACATTTTCTTTCACTCACCTGGACTTTCTTGGCTACCTGAAGCACAACATTAAATTTGTCAGATACACCTTTGTCTTTATCCTCAGATTCCTGAAATAAACAAATAACAATCTTGTATAATTGTAAAAATGCTTGTTTCCATTGGTGAAGTTGAATTAAAAAGAATAAAAACTTGTAATTCCAACAGATAATTTACTGTTAAAACAGATATATTTCGGAAAGGTTTTGCAACCCTCTGTCACTCTTGAGAAATAAATGAAACAGTGACAAAGCGATAATTTTCAAAGCATGAATGAATGGTAGATATATAAATATGCAAGATAGATTCTGGCGAGAAAAACTGTCTAGCACAACATAGTGAACCAACTTTCCAAGCAGTAAACTTGGAAATCTTCTTTGATGCTTAAACCTTGTTGTCTGTTGTGAAAAGCTTGAAATATGTTAAAATGCTTAACTGTTTAGATTCCCTCATTTTTCTATCTTACAGTTCTTAAAACCTTCTGTAAGCTTGCTCTCTCTCCATATATATATATATATATATATATATATATATATATATATATATATATATAGTATTACTTGTTTAGAAAACCTTGATAGCTCAACTTGCAGATATGTCAGGACAAATCAGTACCCAAGGAAAAAATTGGAAATAAAAAGAAAGAACTAAAACATCAGAACAAGACAAAACAAATCACCAAGTGCTTTAAGTCCTTAGTTCAAAGATAAAAAAAAAAAAAACAAGCAGAAAGACTAAAACGTAGAATGCTCAATACACTAAGTAGAGCAATAAACTAGAATAAATCCTAAGAAGCCAGTCAAACCTACCTAGGTTTCACCTAAACGGATCTTCAGGGTAAACTGGCCAGTTTACCCTGAAGATCCGTTTAGATGAAACCTAGGTAGGTTTGACTGGCTCCTTAGGATTTATTCTAGTATATATTTCAAAATTATAGACATACTTATCATACATATCAAAAATCTACAAGGTTATCTTTGCAATCTGGATCAGTAATTTATATGGGAAAAATCTTTTAAAATTAATTGATACTTTGTTCTCTGCTATTTCCATTTATTAAAGGTTTTATAGGAATGCTTTTTTATATCGTAGAGAAAAGTTAAAAATAAAATTGGATTTAAGTCCCCAAATATGCCAAAATGTCAAGTTGACATTACAAGTCTTATAACCAATCAGGGGTACCACATATACCGCAGCAATAGCGATGGTGTATCTAGGGCAAGACAGCTTGACTGAGCCACTACCTGTTCAGGCTGGGTATTTGAATCCAGAGTTTTCCTTCTTCTAGACTGGTTGACAGCTAAAGACAAAAGAGCCCAGTCATCATTACTATTTAACCTATAGCTGGGAGAAGAGATGGATTCACACCTTTCCAAAAACTATTTGGGCAAATGTGAATATAACAAACTCAGTCATAATTCAACTGTCCTGGGTAAGACGATAAACTACATCTAACTGCAAGGCCTCTGATCAGGTTTTGAGGAATATGGAACCATCTCTTAATTGGTGATGTTCCCAGGTCCACCCTGACCTGGGGTGGTAGCACCTGTCAGGGTCCCAGCTAAGGGCAAATAGTTAACCCCAAAACTGGGGTCAAAACACTATGAAAGTGTAAAAATAGTTTTTTTTTATCCAGAAATACTTTGGAAAAAAATTATTGTCAGGAATACATTTTTGGAAAAAATAAATATTACCAGCAATAAAAATCTTGTCGGCATTAAATAACTCATTGAGGTTTATATGTCGTAAAACAAACCAAACTGAACTGAACCATAATTTAAACTTGGTTTGCTGATTTCCAACTGTTGTACTATCTGCACATCCAATTACCAAAAAAAAAAAAAGACTGATGTACAATGAAAAACACCTAAAGTTTCCTTGAGACTCCAATTGGAAAAAGAAGGGCAGAATAAAAAAGCAGTAGAGTGATAATAGAACTCTAAGAGATGGGTCTTTCATGGTGTGAAAGCCAAGACACAAAACAAGGATTACTTATTAAGGTTTTATGTTGCAGTAGAGATAAAGGCAACAAATAATACAAACATAGATTAAAGTAAAAAGAATTTATTTTCTTTACACTCTTACTTGATTCCTTTAAAAATAAATAAGCCTCTTAAAGATCTGCTAGATGGCTGAGAGAGTTGCTGATTCCAGTGGTTGGCACACAAGCTTAGCTAAAAGGCCAGAATTTTTGCTGATTTTCAAGGAAGGCTGGCTCCCCCCACAAAAAAAACTGATGCAACACAATAACAAAGACGAGTATAATAGTTCAAATATCAATGTATATGTTGTGTCAGAAACCTACCACCCCTCTTGAAGATGAACTTGTCTGCGTCTGTAAACAAAGACTTTAAATAGTGGCATGTCAAAGACAGATAGACAGAGAAGTTCTTAACTGAGCTAGTTATTGACTACTCAGGCGATTTCTGTACCTTTTTACCAACCTATTAAAACCCTTTTTATTGTTACGTGTTATTTGGCGTTTGTCTCTACTAACCCCAAATCAACATCATAACAGTATATAACACCTTGAAGCAAAAGAAATGTAGTTCTTCAAGGGGATACTGAGAATATAATGAACTGAGCAACAACAAAATTTTAAAGAAAATGAAAACAAAAAAGGACACTTGTACCTATCAGAAAAAAAAGAGAACTAGAAAATTTAACACTCAAAAGGACACTTTGAAGGCAAGAGGGCCAGAAGAAAACAGCATATAACCTACCTAATGATCTTTGCAAATTGTTAGCAGAACATAGTTTAGGAGAGATAGCAAAAAAAAAAAAAAAAATTTACTAAGAGCTACAAAGGACAGGAAATTATGGAGAGCCATGATCGCGAATGTCCTGAAGTGACATGGCACATAGAACTACCCTATTCAAACTCCTGACCCAGTTTGCTATTGTGTTATTGGAATTTAGACTAATCAATCAGAAAATTAAGATTAATCAAGCATAGAATAAAACTCGGCTGCTGAATGGCTAAAAAAAGGAATAACCCCACCTAAGAGTCACATGACCCCAGCTATATAAGCACCAAATTCAAAGTTCCATCCTTTTTTCTTCAGCCATATTAATCAGGCAGCTCAAAACACAATATCACCACAAGTCAGATAAATGGCATCAGGTTATGGAGAAATGGGTCTGGTAACCTCAAAAGAAATTACTATTACCTAAAGAAGCTAACTGAGGACAGAAGGAGACTACTCCTTCAATCGGGACTATTGATAAGACTACTCCTTCAATCGGGACTATTGATAAGGTTACTAGACATTTCTGCTAAGTCCACAGACACACATTCTAGGCAACTACTTACTTTTTTTCCCTTATTTCTCTTTCTATTTGGGTTAAATATATTTAAATAGTACAGGTTGTTGTGTTCTTTTTTTGTCTTCAAAAGCTGTCACCCTGTTTGTTTGTGCACTTGAGGACTCCTCACTTACCTTCAAAAAATTTGCAGTTGCATCCTAGTATAATATCATGGATATAATAACCACAGTTTCAGATGAAGTTTTATATCTTCACCATTACATTTTTTTTAATCCTTTCCACTCACCAAGCAAGGTAATAAAGCCACTAGGATGCACAAGGATACTGACTGTTAGAAAAAAAACAACTATTAAGTAGAGCAAGGGCAATAAAAGAATAAGAATTAAGACAGAAGATGACAATTGACATTGCATTTAAATTTTTGAAGATCACAGCCGGAAGAAAGTTCCACAAGTGACAAGTGCAATAGAAGAAACTGTTAGCATATGACTTGGTTACATCTAGCCAATTCAACTCTAGATTGATAAGACCTGACCACCAATCTAGTACTGTACTTAAAGCCATTAAGTCTCAGTACCGTAGAGGAAAGTTCATCAGAACAATTCCCATAAAAGTATATATAGAAAAGGCACGGGGAAGCTACGTTACACTAGTGGGAAAGGAAATGAAACTGAGATGTCAGTAACATTGCAGATTCTTTGGATTTTATCAATAATCTCTAAATATATAGCAGGAACACCAGACCAGATGTGGCAGCAATATTCAAAGCCAGAGTGAACAGTAGACGTATAAATATGCAAGATAGATTCTGGTGAGAAAAATTATCTAGCATGACACAGTGAACCAACTTTCTTATAGCTGCAGATTTAGTAATTTATTCAATATACTTTTTCCACTTGATGTCAGTAGAAAGCATTAGTTTGAGATGGTGCAATGAGTCACTCTCCTAAATGTTACTTAAAGAGAAATCATAAACACAATTGCAATTTTTAGCTTTCAACCAAAATCTTAAATTCACTAAATGTGGATCAGCAGAATTTTAAACATTACATATGGTTCAACTACAAGTAACAGAAATTTCTGTTTTATTGTGACTGACATAAATTCAGTTCTAGTAGTGAGTGAGAAGCTATTTAGTTTGAGATTATTTCAATTTCTGTGGATGACAAAAAAAGCTAAGCAATGTATTAAGAAACAGGAAAATTTCATAAGAAAAGGGTGCTGAACTGTCATTTAATATCAGTCTTCCTCTATAGCAGTGAATGTGAGAATCTTCATAGATGAAGAAGAGACTTGAAGCAATAGAAATGTGGTTCTACAGAAGGATGTTGGGAATACTATAAAATGAACATGTGAGTAACAAGGAGGTTTTACTGACAAAGGAAAAAAATAAAAGAGATGCTTATACGTAGGAGGCATGGTAGATTGTGGCTCTGAGGAATTGGAGAGCTGAGTTCAAATTCCAGTTGAGTTCATTACATTCAATTATGTGCTAATACTGTTGGGAAAGATATGGACCCTCCAGCTATGGGAAAATAGCAAGACAGACTGGGTTTTATAGCCTTGGGTGGCAGCCGATCTAGGAGAAGAAAAACTCTGAATTCCAAACTGCATGCTGCCCTGATGAAGCACATACTATGCAGCTAAGGAAAAGATTGTTCACATTGACTCAATGATCCTGACTACAGTCAAATCCTTTTATAATTAGAATCAGAAAGTGATAGCTGAAATTTCTAAGACACATGAAGAGAAAAGAAGGTTTGGAGAATTTGACACTCATGGGATATATTGAAGGCAAGAAGGTAAATGTGTAAATGGATTGCAGAACAGGGAGTGGGATGGATGGTGAAAAGACAAATGTTACTAAGAGCTACAAAGGATAGGAAGTTGTGAAGTGTCATGATTGACAATATCCTGAAGGGATATGGCACATTGAAAAATTTATGAGAACTAACCTTCTTTCCAAACTGAACCATTTATTTAATGTTAAATCAACAAGAAAAATGAATACTTACTTTCACTTCTTCCCCAGGATCAAGGTAATGAAGATTTAAATTCCAGCCTCTAAAAGATAAAAAAATATCAGAAAAGATTTAAAAAAAAAAAAAGTAATAATTTTAAAAATACTTAAAATACATGAATTTATTTGGTCTTATGCCTTCATCTTCTAGTTACAACCTTTTCAGCCATTCGACTCTCACATTCTTCAGGTGCCAATCATAAACATGTTTTTGTCAAGTATGTTGTTAGTTTGGTAGCTCTGTTGCATTGTGGGATATTATAACAGACAACACTGATAGAAACATTATGAAAATGAAAAACAATAAAAATAGTGAAAGTTTTAAAATTTCATTGAATATTAACAAAAATTCTAAAACCAAATTTAAATTTAATTAAAAAAATACCTTTCAATTCAACTTTTTATGCATTGTTACAATTTTATTCAACAAATGTAAATGTTTATGACTAATTCTTATATATATATATATATATATATATATATGTGTGTGTGTGTGTGTGATTATTTTTTTAAATGGTTTTAAATTATAGAAATATAAAATTTATTGCTTTGCTTGAGATGAAATGATTAATATATCTGTCTTTGCCTGCATTAATTAAAAAAAAGATCAAGAAGAGTGGCCACACAAGACCACATTTATTTCACGGTTCAACAAGGAAGACTGAATCAGTTCCAAAATTCGTCCATAAATACCATGACCTTTCAACTTGTGAAAACCAGCATGCCAAATCCTGTCAAATCCCTTTGAGATATCAAAAGCAACAACTTGAGCTTCATCATTCTTATCTAATGCTTCATAGACTATTTCAGCAATAACCAGTAAAACATCAGCAGTTGATCTAGAAAAGGAAAAACCATATTGCTTATCTGAAATATGACCTTGTGATATGAGATGCTTAACTATTCAGAGTTGATTAGAGCCTCTAGTATTTTGCCAAAAAGAGGTAGAATGTATGCATATATATATATATATATATATATATATATATATATAAAGATGCCACCAGCACAGTTCTTCTAGGAAAACAAATGGGAGGATTCTTCTGGAAAACTTGGATGGGTACTTTCACCCACATTGTTCAACCTGTTTCTAGAGAGAATCATGCAAGAAACCTTGAACGACTCTGATCCTTAAATCTATCAGTGGCAAACACATCTTTAACCTACGTTTTGCAAATGACATTGATTTCATAGCAGGTAGTAACAGTGAGCTCCAGGACTTGACCAACAAACTTGTTGAAAGAGCAGGAACATATGGAATGGGGGTCAGCTCCGAGAAAGCCAAAGTAATGCTAAATAGCACAAACAGTAACACCTGTGCCAACATTACCATGAATGGAAATTCACTGAAGGAAGTGTCCAGTTTTAAATACTGAGGAGCAATCTTGTCTAAAGATGGTACCTACAACTTGGAAATCCACACACAGATTGCTGCAGCCATGGCAGTGATGGCTAAATTGGCAAGAATATGGAGAAGCAAAATCAGCTTTCAAATGAAGTACAGACTGTACAAATCACTGGTAGTCTCCATTCTCCTATATAGATGTGAAACATAGACACTGTTGGCAAAAAAAAAAAAAGAGAAGGATCTAAGCGTTTGAGAACAAATGCATTGGCATCTTCTATTGGAAACATAAAAGCAACGAGTCTGTAGAAAAGGGTTGAAAGTTTTGTGGACAACCAGGAACCTATTCTCGTCACTGTCAAAAAGAGAAAAATGGCACAGATGAACACATTACAGGGCACAACATCCTGTGCAAGAACATCATGCAAGGCACCATTGAGGGGGAACATACGAGAGGATGCCAACACAAAAACTGGTTGGACAATGTCAAACAATGGACAGGTATGACTATACAAAATTGCTGAATGCTGCCGTTGATAGACCATTGTGGAGGAGATTTAGTGTGGCTTCTGCATTCAGAAAGCCCTTACAATTACAAAAGTCAAGGTGATGATGATATATATATATTATGAAATGGACAAAGTTCGACAATTATTTTAAGACATTTTTTTGTTTATACATTCTTTTTATAGATATAAATATTTAAGTAAATGCTCTGTTTTATAATAAACAGTATTAAACAACATTTTACCGACCTGAATGAAAATTTCTGACATTCAGGCTGGTAAATGTTGTTTAATACTATTTATTATAAAACAGAGCATTTATTTAAATATTTGTATCTATAAAAAGAATGTATAAACATAAAAATGTCTGAAAAAATATATATATATATATAAAAGGCAGAATGTGTGTGTGTGTAACGAATGCACAGCCGCAATTTTCGATGGATTTGCACCAAAATTTACATGCACATGCTCCAAGTTAGTGGTAAGGCCAAGACTGACTTTGCACTTCCCAACTCCCATCGATAGTGGAAATAATTGATTTTTTCATGCTTCTACGGCAGTTTTCATGTAGTTTGCGGCCATTTTGTGCTGGCCAGAGTGAGAGCCAATAGCTGGCTGCCACGAATAGGCAGGAAGATTCTATTGGCTAGTGTGAGAGCCAACAGCTGACTGACACAAATGTTAACTCGCCCTCTAGCATACAAAAAAAATTGATAGCTGCATTCGTCGCAAGTGGAAAAAATTTAAATCTGCATGGCACTTTACTCCAATTGGCTCATTCGCTAGCTTAAACTTAACGTTGATTCTGATTCCACAGAACTGGGTTTGGGTGTGAAAAAGTATTTGTTGTTAACATTTTTTTTCATTCGGTTTTTCCAGTTACGAATCCTCTTTTAAAGCTGATCGTTTTGTGTTCATTTTGTTTAGTTCTTTTTTCATAACAGATTTAATGTTTAGTATAGAGCTTAGAAAAAATTTGCATTGTGAGATAGGCAAGAAGTAAGGCATGTAGCAACATCAGCATGGCAAAGGGCACTCCTTTAAAGGCAAGGAAGGGCAAAACTATTTCAAGTCAAGTGATAGTGATTGCTGTATGAGTCGTACGATTTTTGAATCAAGCATGGGCAACGCCATGATGCTGCTATATATATATATATATATATATATATATACACACACACACTTTACATGAACATCTTACTTAAAATTTCTTGTAATAATCATACATGGTTTGTTTAGTGAGAAATTAATTCTCAAAAGGCATTCTAAATGCCATTATGCAACAATAACAATTCTTTTTTACTTGATTCAATTTTACACAAAAAGCCTTCTCAACAGAATTTATATACATCATACTGAACATTTACTAGTGCTACCAAAATCTTATTGGCTCATTGCCAAAAAGAAAATATTCATATTATATTACTGTAATAAACTTGTCTCTACAAACTATTCATTATGTCAATATTTTTAAATAGTTTTGATCTAATAAGTGTTTGAAATTGTCTATTTCTTTTGTAATTCCCCTGTCAGTCAGTTATGTGCTATGCATGATACATAGGCAATCATGTACCTTTTGATACATGACTGACGAGGCAGATTTTTTCCCACAATAGGTTGCTGTTTCTTTCTGCAATAGATCAGTTGCCATCCAAGGCTATAGAGCCCGGTTTGTCCTGCTATTTACCCATCGCTGAGGGAAGAAGAAGAGGATTCACACCTTTCCCAAGGGTATTAGTATGTAAGTGAATGTAATGGATTTGCCTGGAATTTGAACTCAGCTCTCTGATTCCTCAATCTGAGCCACTATCCATTACTCCACCATGCCTCCCTAATTCCCCTGTACAATAAATAAATAATCAACTCAAAGACATGAACCCTATCCAAATAATAGGAAATAAACATTTTGTATCTCTGCTCTCCAGATGACAGGATGTATATGTAGCATAGTGGTTATAGGTTTGAAAAGCAACATTGAAGTAGCAAGTTCAAATTTCAGCCAAGGCCATCACGTTCATAGAAATACTCTTGGGAAAGATATGAATCCATCTCTTCTCTCACCTTCTATGATTTAAATAGCAAGGCATATTGGGCTCTATAGCCTAGTGGATCAAAAATTCCCTGGAGGTTACACAGATTGATATACACCTGATGAAGGAAGGTACAATGTTGGAAAAGGTGTCATAACAACAAAGATGAAGGCAATAGTCTGAATGTAAATAATTTAAATAATGATAACTCCTCATCGCAGAAATTCAGAGAGTAAATATCAACCCTTGTTGAGTTATTTAAAATCAACTATAAGTCTCCTAGGGCAAAAATCAGAATAACAACAGATAAGTAGACACATGTTCCATTTACAGCACAGTTCAAAAGGTAGACACAGGTTCAGTTTATACTCCAGTAAAAAAGGAGACATTAGTCAGATTTATGCAAGAGTCTGCAAGTATCCACTTTTAATTGGTGGGTGGGAAACAGACACCATTTTCTTAGCCCTGTCTAAAGAGCAAGTATTTAATGAGCTTAGTCATAGTACTGTTATAATCTTTAATAATCTTATCATCTAGATTTTGTATATATTTTTCTATGTAGCATTATTTAGTGAAAGGAAATAAAATAAAATCTATGTGGCAGACTTACTTGTATCTCATGTAGTTAATGGCAAGTCTGAAGAGAATTAGAAAAAGTGTAACTGGGAGAAGCAATCCATTCCAAGTTGAATACATGTAAACCTTTCAATAGAAAAATGTAAAAGAATTAAGAAAACATTCAGAGAAAAAGCTTTATAACAAAAAAAAAAAATGTATCATTGTCATTATCACAATCTGTTAAAACAAATATCTTCATCTTTGCTGTTCTCACCACATTTTATCCTGAAAGATCAAATTTCTTTGTGTTATTCAATAAACATCAAGAATCATCCAAAAATGTCTTTTTCCTTCTCACTTCACAGATTTGATCAACAGTTGTGTTGATGCGAGAAATGTTTGAAACAGACTCGGAAAAAAAAAATTCTATGTATAGATTGCCAGTAATAGGATGATAACAAATATTAGGATATTAGTCCAAACCTTTTGCAGCAGAAGAACAAAGATTCAGATTAGAATTTCAGTCAACTATCATTTTAATAAATGGCAATTAACATAGTTTTAATTGGTTTTAAAAAAATAATAAACAGTTAAAAATACTATTTCTGTCTCACAACAGTTGCTACATTTAAAGTATAAAATATGTATGCAAATGTAACAATTATTATGGGACAGTATTTCCTGGAAAGACTGAAAGCCTAAACAAAATTAAGATGGTCCATTTTTATAAATTTTAAGGATTTAAAGGATTAATTATAAGAGACAAAAAATATTTTGTTACTACTGTCCCATAATAATTGATACATTTAATATATGAAATGTGTCTGCAAATGTAACAATTATTATGGAACAGAAGTAGTATTTTATAAAAAGAACTTGGTTGTAAGATAGTAATGGAAAACTTTTAATATCAAAGAACGGTATTTTTTTTCCTCTTTTTCAGGATCATTAAAACCAATGTAATCTCTACATTGAACCCCCCCCAAAAAAAAAAACAATTAGTACTTTTTACATACACATAAAAAATGGATTTGTAAGTTTAAGTGAGGCTTTTTATATTTTTTGCTTTTTGCAGAAGGAAATATTTTAAGAAAGAAAGAAAAAGCGAAAGGAGAAAAGGAGAAAAAGAAGAGAAAAAGTTAAAAAAAGAGTAAAAGAAAAAGAGAAAAGATAAGAAAAAGAAAAAGAGAAAAAGAAAAAGAGAGAAAGATAAGAAAAAGGAAAAGAGAAAAAGAAGAAAAGAAGAAAAGAAAAAAGAGAATGAAGAGAAAAAGAAAAGAGAAAGAGAAAAAAGAAAGAAAAAACAGAGCTGGCATAGCAGGTTGGGCAACGAATTATTATATTCTCCCATGTAAGGATATAATTTTTATTATTGTGTTAACATTTTTCTCTTAAAGTATATATGCTTAAAAAAAAACAAACAAATAAAAGGTAGACTAGACACAGGATGTATGAATCAATCAGATTTTAAACAGCCCTTTATGCATGCTAAAAGTCTTTAGTTTTCTTAGGGTATCCCTAACAGACCTCCCAACGAATTATTCTTTCATACGACACACACACATAAACATATATATATATATATATGTGTGTGTGTGTGTGTGTGTGTGTGTATTTTGGTAGCATGTTTTCATTGAAACAAGTTTCATTGAATAATTTAGACAAGTTTTGTCTGCTTATTTTCAATAGGATCCATTCACATCCTTGGATGAGCTTTTTTGCGTCAGCATTAAAAGAAGAGAGAAAATTACTGTGTTGATAAATATTGTTTTATTCCAAATATTTCAACATTAACACAATGTCATCCTCAGGGTGTGTTTTTAAGACAAAAATATAGTGTTTTTTATCTACAAAAATTGTTATGTTCATCTGAAAGTTGTAATTTTACATGTGGAATGAGGACCACTAATTTTTGTGCCATGTGGTGCATGCTTACGCTCTAGGGGAGATAACTAATTATAATGTGTGAAGAGTTCTTTTAGAAAAAGAAGAAAATAGTATGAGAAACTTTTAATATAGAGCTTGATATTTTAATCTATCTATTTTAAACATTTTAAAACATTTGTGCAGTATTCATAATTAATTTTGTTATGGTTTGGTCTCAGTTTTTTAATATAGATAGCTTCAAGGATTTTTAGTTTATGTTTATGATTTTCATGAAAAAGTATGGCTGCATTTTCGACAAGAATTTTTCTAAATTGTGAATGTGGACATGCATGCTGTTTTAAATGTTTAGAGATGTTAGACGTGTCATTCAAATGAAAACTCAACTGCCGAGACAACATGGTCGTAGTATAACCAACATAAATATTATTTTTTCCATTGAAGATACAATCTCCCAGAGGACATTTAATTTTCTATACATTATTGGTTTTCTGCAACACATTGATTGGTGAGGAAGACTTGTTACAAATGATTAAATTGGATATACTAGATTTAGTGTAGTATATAATTAATTTAAAATCAGTATAGCATTACTAACAATACTTTTATTATTCTCTTTTACTTTTTTTTAACTTATTTAACTAGAATATGTGATAAAGAGATAGCGGAAAAGAGGTTAGTCAATTGTAATTTGGTCTCTCAAAAAAGGAACTCACATGATACACAAGATACATGAAAAAATCTTTTGTAAGTGAAAATTTGGGGGTCATACGTTACATGAGTATATATGGGGTGTGTGTGTGTGTGTGTATATATATATCTCATGATTGACAAATTATCATCATTACATATTTTTTGTCATATAAAAATTTTGTTTCTTTAAAGGTGAAGAGAATGTTATTTGTTTAGCTTAATATTTAGAAAGTATTGAACATAATTACTGAATATAAACAAGAAAAAGCAAGGAATTATTTTTGATATTTTATAAGTACAATGCAATAGTAAAATTACTTACATATTGTCTCCATTGTTTAAGGACATGGATTAGTTATTATATAAAACTTAAATTGAATCAAGAACATTAAAATATCTTCCATAGATAAATGGTTAGAAACTATTGTTAGTATGTTAAATTTCATCCTTACTGGGGCTCCATCAGTTGTGGCCCTAAGCCAGGCAATGTTGACTTCCATAGATATTATTTAGGAATCTCAGTTATAAAATAGTTTCAGAAAATATTTAATAGCAACTAAGAGAAAGGAATCTTTTTTTTTTTTTTTGCATTCCAGAAACAAAATTTACCACAAGGGTTAAAAAAAAAATCACTCCACAAGTATCTAAAATATGGTTTGTGAATTGAACAGAGAATCCAGAGGCTTACAGGCTGTAGCGGTGACATACCTTGGCGACCCAAAAGGGCTAGAGTCACATGGGGTCACTGCTACACAGCCATATTACATTGGTGGTCATACAGGAACAGGTGTTTCAAAGTTAAGCAATGTCAAGCCTGGTCAGTAACTAGATGGGTAACCACTTGGGAATACCAGGTGCTGTAAACTTGGATTTGCAAGTTGTGTTTGAAAAGATCAATTCTATAAAAAGCAAAGTACCACAATGATATTGTTTATGACATGGGTAAACTAATATATATTTTTCTTTAATCAAGTCACACCAAGCATGGTAGTAATGCCACTAAGACACAAGAGGGCAACTGGGAATGAAAGAGAATGAGAAGACTTTAGAAGTAGAAACCCAGTCTTAAACAGGAAACAAGGGATAAACCCTCTACTCCTGTTCAAGAGGCTTATGGCCATATAACATTGAAACGCTGCTTCCTGTACAATCATCAAAGTTAAACAATGTTGAACCTAGTCAGTACATAGATGAGTGACCATTTCAGCTATTCCAGGTGCTGTAAGCTTGGATGTGCAGGTGATGTAATGGATAATGGATTAGAATTTTTAACAGGAGAGCTGAGTTCCAATTCCAGTCGGGTTCATTATATTCACTTATGTGTAAATATCCTTTGGAAAGGAATAAATCCACCTCTTCTCCCCACAGTTGCAGGCTAATTAGTATAGACTTTTATCACTAAACAACTGTAGGAATAGAAAAATCGATTATCTCCCTTTTATTGAGATAAAGTCACAAGGGTCACTTGATGGCTAGTGAATGATATTAGGGGATAGAGTAACAAAGGGCAGTTGTGATGTAAATCCCAGAGAAGACAGATATCCTTAGGCCAAAGTGATAGGTGTTACAGGAAAAACCTCATGGCTTCACCAGATTCATAGAGAAAATACTGTAACTCCAGTTTTCCTTTTGGGAAATATTATAGCTAAGGCTACCCTTTTTTTTCACACACTGCTTGTTGTTGCATACAGGTTATAATTTCAGTGTAGAACAAATTAACATATGTATATATAAATATATGTATGACTTAGCATCATAAAACTCTGAGAACAAAGCATGTTTTCCATTCCTTTTTCTTTCAGCTATTCTGTTCCATCTATGAAATACAGCATTATTATACCGCAAAAAAAAAATCTTTCAATCTAAAAATATCTTCTGGCTTTAAATGGCTTGCAAAGAGTTGATAAGCCATAGAAAACAAATCAATCAATCAATGAGAACCCAGACCTTTAATTCATTTTTTAGACACTAAAATATTTCATTAAGAAAAAAAAGCTTTACTACTAAAAAATTTTGACAATCAAATTTATACTAAAAATTTTAATATTATAATTTGTAAAAATGATATTATATTCTATACATTAAGAATAATAAAGACTAAAAAAAAAAAAATTTAAACACCTGAAAATCAAATTCTTTTAACAAATTAGTAAAAAATAATCAATTAAAAATATACTGAGCAAAAAATGTATAAAAAGAAAATGTGATGTCATTGTACTTACGGTAAAAACGAAAAGGGTATAAGATGGAGATTTCCACTGTACAAGGTTTTTGAGGCCTTGGATAGTGTTCATATAGGGCTGTGTCACTGCACCTAGAATTAAGAAAAACAATTTATCAATTATATTCCTTAGAAAGATAAGAGGAATTTCATTTAGAATTCTAGAAAATCTGCAGAAATCCCCCAAGCATCGAAGGAAATATTTTATTTAAAAAAAAAAAAAAAAAAAAAAAAAAAAGCAAAACACGGACCTTTGTACCTGCAAAATAATGGAGTGTCAAAAGGACTGTTTTTCCATTGACACTGATTTTATTTTAACTACACTTTGGCAATGTTTTTTTTCAAAAAGAATTAAAATTGTAATAAAACCTAAACATATGATGAAAGTGAATTTATAAATTTTTTTTGTTTTTGAGAATTTACATCCAAAATATTAAACACTATTTATTTATTGGATTGTTTATTTACAAGAATAATTTTATATTTACAACATTCTAAAAACTAATACAATTTTATTAAAACTAATGAAATGCAATATTTATCATTTACCAATTTATAAAGAAATAGATGTGAAAACAATTTTTTTATTCAGAAATTTATAAAGATTTACTAAATAATTGAAATATGTGAACCAACTATAAGTTATACTATATAAGGAAATCCTTATTATTTACTATTATAAAAGTTTGAATCAATTGGCAATTAGCTGATGTTTTGCCAATCATTCCAATAAACAATCTAATAAATAGTGTAAATAAACAATCAAATAAATAATCTAATAAATAAATAAATAAATAAATAATCTAAAATGAATAGTGTAAATAAACAATCTAATAAATAGTGTAAATAAACAATCTAATAAATAGTGTAAATAAACAATCTAATAAATAATCTAATAAATAAATAAACAATCTAATAAATAGTGTAAATAAACAATCTAAGAAATAAATCTAAGAAATAAATAAATAAATAATCTAAAATGAATAGTGTAAATAAACAATCTAATAAATAGTGTAAATAAACAATCTAATAAATAGTGTAAATAAACAATCTAATAAATAAATAAACAATCTAATAAATAGTGTAAATAAACAATCTAAGAAATAAATCAAAGAAATAAATAAATAGTGTAAATAAACAATCTAATAAATAGTGTAAATAAACAATAAATAGCGTAAATAAACAATCTAATAAATAGTGTAAATAAACAATCTAATAAATAAATAAACAATCTAAGAAATAAATCTAAGAAATAAATAGTGTAAATAAACAATCTATTAAATAAATAGTGTTTATTATTTTTGTTGTAAATTCTCAAGACAAAGAAAATGTATAAATTCACTTTCATGCATTTAGGTCATATTACAATTCTAATCATTGTTTTTAAAACAAACATTGCTGAAGAGTGAAGGTAGTTAAAATAAAAGCAGTGTCATGGGAAAAATCGTCCCTTTAACATGCTGTTTTTTTGCAGGCACAAAGGTCCATGTTTGCCAAATGTTCTACCATCAAAAGAAATGCAAATATTAATATAAAAAAATAGGTAAAATATTAGAATTCATTCAAAATTATATTTGTATAATTCTTAACTAGTGTACCTGTGAAAATTTCAGTTTCTCTATTTGAGTTTTCTGATGGACACTTATTAATTTAATGATTGAATAAGCTTTATGACTATAACTATATTTAACTATCATTAAATATTTGTACTTAACAACTTTCACCAAATATTGCAATCACACTCATAAGCATCAAGTTAGGAAGGTATAAATAAAAAACTTAAAAAAAGACAAGCTTTTCCATTTCACTGTAGCAGACAAATGTATCAGAGCATTTTCATTTCTGCTATCTTCCCTTTGTTCATTTCTTATTATGTATTCTTTCTTTTTTCTCAATAAAACTCAACTACATCTCAGATATGTCTTTCCTTTTTACCTCACAATCAAAAAAAATGGTTCATTATTTATCTTGGGTAATCATAGGCATAACATATAGGTTAACTTACTAACAGAAGATCAAGCAGAATTAGGATTCAATCTGGTCTAGTAAACATTAAATAAAAAGAGGAACAATGATTCTGCATGTTGTGTCAATTTTATAAGATTAACTTTATAAGTAAATACTTTATCTCTTCCTAACACACACACACACACATATATATATATATATATATATATACACACACACACACACACACACACACTATGAATTTAAGCATAGTACTAGATTAGCAACAATGTTGCATCATTTTACAGTTAAATTGGCTCAGTGTAACCATAAGTGGTTAACACTTTCTTTTCCTTACACTTCTCACCTGTGGAACTATCTTCCAGCTTTGTGCTTTCCAGCCAACTTTGACACTCAAATATTTAAATGCAATGTCAAAAAAAAAAAAAAAATGTGTGTGTTTGTGCGCACATTCACATGGCCTATATCGCAAAGTCAATATTTTAGTGACTAAACATGAAAATATTAATTTTGAGAAGTAGTTTGTGCTAATAAATTTTTCAGCACCCACTTGTACATGTGAATCTATGATATTTTGTTTTCATATTTGTACATATATTTTGGAACTTATTTGTTTTGAAGAGCAACTTATACTAAAATTTATGATCATCATTTCTTAAAAGTTGTATTCAAGGGGGGATAATTTAAACTAAATACTTTGAACTACTTATTTTGTAGTCAAGGGAGATAATTGAAATTGCTTATAATTTTAATTTTTGTTTTCACTTTGAATGTTGGTAAATTTGATAGTGGTCATTATTTTGAAAGGACTAAAGACTAATTGTAAGAGTTCACAACTGAGAATAAAATGAGCAGCTAAGTTACACACTGAGAACGTCAAAAAAATTCAGAACGTCAACAATTTGGAAAATGCTCAAAGAAATTTGAAGGTGCTTAAGAATAGCAAAAAACAAAAAAAACCTGAAGAAATTGAGTAAAGTTTCAAAGGATCAAAAAGTAACAAAACTGAAGAAAACAATGCAGAATTGTTGATGGCATATTTGGCTCAACTGAAATACTGATTTTTTGAAGTAGGTGGTGTGTGTTTATGCGCACATACACACAGATTTTTTTTTAAATTGCATTTAAAGTTTTGAATATCAAAGTTGGCTGGAAAGCTAGAAGTTGGAAGAGTTCCACAGGAGAGAAGTGTAAGAAAAGAAACTTAACTTACAGTTACATCTAACCAATTCAACTGTAAAATTTTGCAACATTCTTACCAATCTAGTACTGCACTTAAATTCATAAAATGTATGTGTGTTTTAAAAAAAGAAAGTGATTTAATGGAATAACCAGTCACCCCCATGAATGATTACAATATAGGTAGTAAGTATCTATAAAGTCAACTGTCTACGAGAGACTTGAGGGAGGGTGAGAGAGAGAAGACGCAAATACGTTCGACCTTCCAATTAGTGGCACTCACTACTATATTGACCTGTGTGTATAACTGTACCGTATTTCATATTGTACTGGTTGTGTACAATAAACCTTTCTTCTATTATCCACCTGGTGTTAAGTATTTATTCCCTTAGCACGGAATATAACAACTTATAAATTTAATCTTGCAAAATTGACACAATATGTAGAATCATTGTTCTTATTTTTAATTAATATTTACTACCAACAAATTTTGCATATATTGTGGACAGTATAATAAATGAGAAACTGGAAAACTTAAAAAAAGAATAGGATCTACTAATTAAAGGAATTGTTGATAATAACCAGAAAGCTTCAGTTGGAATTTTGGGAACACATAATGAGAAAAGAAGGCTTGGAGAATTTAACACTTACAGGACACTTGGAAGTTAAGAGAGACGAAGGAAAACAATGAGTAACATATTTGACAATTCTATACAAATGGATGGTGGAAAAAATACGACAATAAGAAAGAGGAGTCATAAAAGGAGAAAGTACTTCTGAATGCAATAAAAGACAGGAAACTGGAGAGAACCACAAACACCAATATTCACATGAAATGGAGCATATAAGAAAAAAAAATCTTATCATTATTTTATTTTTTTACCACTGTTTCAACTTAAACGGTGGTAAAAAAAAAAATAAGATTTTTAGAAAAACAATAACACTCATGAAGAAGGTACAAATGAAAAAATTAAAAATTGACAAGCTTTTCCATTTCACTGTAGCAGACAAATGTATCAGAGCATTTTCATTTCCTCTATCTTCCCTTTGTTCATTTCTTATTATGTATTCTTTTTTTCTCACTAAAACTCAACAGCATCTCAGATATGTCTTTCTCCTCTTGAGAAAAAAACGAAAACATCTGATTAAGAAAGGACACTTAAGATTATCACCAACTGAGAATAGACATTAGGATTAAGACTCTAAAATGACATTAAACTAAGTGGATTAAAGCTTCAGGTTAAAAGCTATCTGGTTCCCTAGCAGTTATGAGTTCAATCCCTGGGTCTGATAGTGGTGAAAAGTCACATACTAATGTTAAGTGGAAAAAAACAGACAAGCAACAAAAATGTGAACAAAACTGGTATTAATAGATATGAGTTATCTCCCTTAAGCATGGGAAGCAGAATGAAAAGAATAAACTACCATGGAGTGAATAATTTCTAAGACATTTTTTTTGTGTGTGTGTTTACAGTAAGATTCACACTGTACAAGGCCTGGGAGGGGGTCACTTGTGGTAGAGGGTTAGATTAGGAGTCAATTTGTATGGATAGGAGGGGAAGATAACTGTTAACCCTAGACTTGAAGAGGTTAAGATTGTAGTGATTGGGGAAACATCCTCTTAGGAGTCGGTTCCACAGAGCAGTGGTTCATGGAAAGTAGTTGTTCAAATGGAACTTACTTCTCACTGATAGAATGCAGAGAGAATGTGGGTGATTTGCTACAATGTAAGTAACATGGTGGGTCCTTCCATAATGGTTAGACCTGGTGGAGCCAACAAATGTAGTTCGTCAGAGCACTTTCATGGAAGTAGCAATAGAGCAGCGAGAGGTTTGCCCATCCCACCTGTGAGAGAGAGGTTGCAGGGTGGAGAATAATTTGTCACTCACAAGGAGACTTCCTGGATATTAAACTAAACAAATAGCATTCTATTCAGCATTGAACAATTACTGACTTTTTATTTATTAACTAGCTTGCATGTTTTGATGGTACAAGTATTATGCTTATAAAATACAAGTTTTATATTGGTCTGTATTTTCTTATGTTCTGAACATCCCGAATATTAAACCAAGCAAATAACATTCCATTCAATATTGAATAATTATGATTTCTATGTTACCAAACAATAATGATAATTTATGGTATAGAAAGACTTAAACACACAAAGAATATATATATGTATACACATTGTTTTATATGATGAAATGCTGAAAAGTTCTCAACCCAAGCAAGAAGCTCTTTGAAAAATAATGTCTGTTTGGTTATTTCATTAGATTTTGGGAAGTTTTCTGTGCCCTCATATCAGTCAGTTAAACACCATATGTGATACACGCTTGGGCAATCATGTATCTTTCAATACATGACTGATGGGCCAGATCTTTTTTTTCTTTATGCGGTAGACAGGTTGCCAACCAAGGCTAAAGAACCCAGTCTGTCCTGCTATTCAACGCATCCATCTCTTCTTCCCTCATAGGCAGAGAAGAGATGGATTCATACTTTTCCCAAGGGAATTTGTGCATAAGTGAATCTAACAGACTCAACTGGAATTTGAACTCAGCTCTCCAAGTTCCCACTGTGAGCTGATATCCATTACACCACAATGCACATCTAGTGGGTTAATTCTGTTGTGGCATGTTATCTTACATTCTAAAGTTCCATTTAACAGTAATTCAATAATTCAGATTTGCCTCCCTTGATGACAATTTGGCAAGTCACAAGTGAATTATAAAAAAGTAATTCTTTTAAATCACTAGAAGTAGAAATATCCAAAGGAAGCTTACAGTATTAACAAAGTGATCTAATTTCTTAAATGACATACATTAATCAAATATTCCATTGTTATGGTAACATGAGACATATTTGCCGTGATTGGTGACAATACTTCAAGTTACGATAACAAAGGAATATTTAATTACTAAGGAATGTGTCTAGGTTCTAGGAACACTTGCCATAAACATTTTTGCTGTAGGAAAACTCACCCCAGGAAATTTTGCTGTAGAAAACTTTGCCATATAGGATTTTTGCCATAAGACAATTTCACTGAATTTTTTTTTTAAATATGCAAAGTATCTTGTTATCAACTATATCTGGCTCACACACACTATTGTTACTTTGATTTAAACATTTTAATAAGCAAAGTTATAGGATCAAAATCCTACATCATTCATACTCGTCAGTGAGAAGCGCAAATAATTTCAACTTGACACTAGAACTTACATCACACAATTTCATATTTCAGACTTAACGTTAAACCTTCTGTTAACATAATGAGGAGATGCAGTACAAATGAAGAAAATATATATGGATATCAATGCAAGACTTCAGCAGAAAATGCTTCATTACACATTATTTATGAAGCATTGTTTGGAATTTGCACACATTTTAAATTATTTCTTTGTTAATTTGATATATTTTTAGTCTTTTATTTTTTAAATAAATGCTTACTTTTTAATTTCTTTTCTGATGTTTAACCCTGTAAAAAAGACATTCATATATACTTGATAACAAGTCACTTCACATATTAAATTGAACATTACTCCATTAAAAGGAGATTCAAGATAAGGGTATTGAGAAAAAAAAAATGTGTCAAAATTGCTGTATAGGATTTTTGCCATACAACAAAGTTTACTATGGCGAAAATTCCTGAGGCGAGTTTTCCTATGGCAAAAATGTTTACACCAGATATTCTGGATACGAGTCTTTGTTGCTTGACTGATATGTATTATAAAGTTTTTATATATATATATATATATATATATATATTTTATTAATTAAGATTAGCAATGATACTGGGTGTTGCATGGATTATGTCCTTTCTTTTGCTTCTTAAAAGCTTATTGGGGAAATTATCATAATTAAAGCCGTTTAACAGGTTTAAACATTTAATAGTCATTTTTTTCATACACAAAATGTTATATTCAAATCTCTATTAGATTTTCAAAATATACTATTGAAAAATGACATTACTTTTCTTTATTACCAAACTGTGAACAAAATGTTAAGGACGTTACCACTTTTCAGGACAGAAAATGGCTTTATTTAAATAACTAAAAAATTTCATTATAATAGCCATTAACAGGATAATTGTGTATTTATAAAAAATACAAAAACTAGATTAAAAATGAATAAGAAAACATTTATTTCTTTTAATTTTAATTTTTTTTTATTTACACTATTTAGAGTAATTGTGAGTTCAATCCCTGAGCTGGACAGTGTGTACTTGGACTTGTGTACTTGTGTACAGTGTGTACTTGGGAAACAGTACAAGCAAAAACTGAGCAATACTAAAAATAAGAACTAGACAGGGTATCCCAAAACATAGGATAAATAAAAGGTTCAGTTCTGAATTCTTTATAGGTTACTCGGATCAACATACACTTGGTGAAGTCTGGAGGGCACAACAATCGAAACATTGTGATAACAACAAAGATGAGAACAATAGTCTGTATGTAAATAGTGTAAATGAATAAAATCTTCCCATTCATATTGTTGTAGCATATCTATGGATGATAATAGGTATGCTCCCATTTCCATAAAAACAGTAGTAAATACTGTATGTTGGTCTGCAGTTGGAGATTCATTGCGGAATTCACTTGACTTCTAACAGTTAACTACTTCTACGCACCACTGGTGAAGTTTATATGTATTGTTCTTGTCCTAAGTATTATTGTTCATTATCAACCTTCATTTGATTATTCTATTCAGCAACCTTCCCTAGGTTACAACACATATCTTAAAACTTAAAATTCTAAATTCCACATTAATGTATTTTTCTTTTTCCAAAATGTTAGCTGTAACTTAAATGGAAAGAGACAATAAGTAATGTATCTTTCTTACAATTGATGATTAATCCTGCTATCAACACCATGATTTGTCTTTTTAATGCCATATCAACTCCTCATGGGTCATTTAATGCTGAAAATTAATTTTCTTAGGAGCATGGAAGTAATAAAAATATATTATTCTGCTTTCGCAATTAAATACATGGTAGATGAAACTCAGCTTTTGTGCATGTACAAGTTTGCATGGAAATGTTTACTAGAAGAGGTGAATATTTTATGTTGTGGTTTTGTTGAAGTTATATTTTGGAATACAGTTTAAGAAATTATTATTTTATGTTGGTTGTTTGGTGGTATTTTAAACAGATTTGAGTGAAGTTGTATTTTTGTTTGTGGAGGAAGGGTTACTATCTGCCCATAGCTGGGACCCTAACAGGAGCTACCACCCCAGATTAGGGTGGACTTGGAAATAACAGCAATTAAAAGGTGTTTCCATGATCCTCAAACACTCCAATCTCACAGAGGCCTTGCTGCCAGATGTAGTTTATCATCATACCCAGGACTATTGGGGAGTAGAGAAAACCAAGCTATTTTTTTCTTTCTCTCTCTACAAGCACTCCATTAGACATTTTTATTTTCAGTCAATTTTGTTTTTCAAAAAAATGAATCTTGTATGCAACTATTCTACCTTTGTTTAAACAATTTGCATGACTCTTTATAAATAACAAAAATCCATTGAAAATATTTGTACAAGTGTTAAACTATTATGGTGGTAGGCAACTATAGTTGTCTCCCCCTTGAACTACTCAACTATAAAATAAATGGTTTAAACATTTGTTTGTTTTTCTTTACAACTATCAAGTACATTCAAACCTATAGATTTTTTAATTTTCCAATTAAAATTGATATAATAATAAAATAAAACAATACACTTACCAAACCTGGTAATATTATTCTTTAACCTGAAAGATAAATTAAATTCAAACATTGACAAAAATGAACATCTTTTCTATTTAGATTTTAAAAATAATGTATTTTTATAATAAAAACTATTTTATCATTTATACATTATTTTTAGTGGATGACTATATTTGAGTAGATATTCCGTTTATTTATTAAGCATTATTTTTATTTATGTTTATTTACCAGCCTGAATATTCAAGAAATCTTATTGAAGAAATCCATCACTTCTTTAGCAATTGCTTTGTTTACATTAGTATATTAAACTGAACAGATATGAATATTTCAAGTCTAAGAAAAATTTGAATTTATAATGGCACTATTCAACTTTGCTTGATCGTTGATGCACCCAGCAGCTGAGATGGTCTAAAGCATGTTGGATCTAATGACTGTTTCTCCTGCCAAGGAGAACACAGGTTCAAATTCTGCAAGAGGTTGCATATTTTTTGTTTATTAAGATCTCTTGAATATTTAGGCCAACTGACAAAAATAAATAAAAATCCTGTTTAATAAAGAATCAAAATGTTTACTCAAAATATGGGTATCTCATAAAATAATGTTCAAGTAACAAAATCTGTTGGATTAATAAATAAAAATCTATCACTTCTTCAGAAATAAAGAATATATAAAAAAAAATAAAGACTATATAAGCAAAAATTACTTCTTCAGAAATAAAGACGATATAAATAAAAATAAAGACTATATAAATAAAAATCACTTCTTAAGAAATAAAGATTATATAAATATTTCTGATGTGTCAAAAAAAAAAAAAAAAAAAATTGTTACCTCAGACAAAAGAAAAAATGATTTAAAATTTACTTACTGAAAAATTAGGGAGAGAGCAAATTTTTCCTTTAGTGTATATATCATTCAATATAATTCTTTCAAAATATAATTCAATAATAAACTTGAATTTACTGCTTATTGTTCTAATGGGAATTAAAACTGAAAAAAATAGCAACAACAAACTGAAAAAAAGCTTTATTTCATCAGTTTTCCAGATTTAGGGATTTTTTTCTTAGTATCTTCAGAAAAAAAAAAAAAAAAAAGTAAAAATCAAGCTTACTTCCTTACAGTCAGGGGATCACCATCAGTATCCACTTCAGGAACAGATTCTGGCACTTCAGAAAAATCATTGATGATCTCATAGATTTGACAAACAATCGAATCCCAAACACGTTGCCAACGTGTCTTTGGACCAACTACTTTTACTTCAATGAAATCATTCAATGCTGAAAGAAAAAAATAAAATATGGAATTATCTAACATTAAAATTCTAAAAGTTTAAATTCAAAAGAAAAACATTGCTATTTTTGTCTATATTTTTGAGATGAGATGAGGTATTGAGATGAGATGAGGTATTGTAATTATTTACATTGTTTGTCCTTGTTGCTATATTCACAATGTTTTGGCTGTTGTACATTCTGGCCTTCTTCAGGTGATTGGAATTTTGAACTAAACCCTTTATTTCATCCACCAGGATAGATTGTTCTAGTTTTACGTGCCATGCCTTTTCTGGGTGTCTCAGTATCAGTAGGACACATGGGCCAGTGGATAAAAGACTTGGTTGAATCCAGTGACTTGACCCAAAGAGTTGTGAGTTCAATACTTGGCTACAGCTGAGGTGAACAAAAAAATTTGGAGAGTTGAGTTAAAGGGAGATAACTGCACATATTAACTTTTATTTGAAACAGGCATGGGAGTTGATGTGGATATAGGGACTCTGTGGTTTCCCTATCCCCAGCAAGTGTCTCTTTGTTATCTGGCTCTGGATAAATAATTATACAGTGTAACCTGGATATAAGAGAAATTTTATCTGGTCCCAAATTAGAGCCTTACTTACCTAAACAAAATAGACCAAACCCGGATATAAGAGGCTTCTTTTCCAGTCCCACCAACTCTCTTATATCCGGGTTACACTGTACTTCCAAATTTGGAGAAATCCTTTTTCATCCAATGGGTAGTGGTCACAGGATACTGATTTGCCCAACTCCTTCCTTCTCTAATTTGTACTTCAAACTAACACTTCCAAATGGGCATAGACAATTCCTCAGTCTTCATTGGTATTTCACCTGGACCTTGATTGTCTTACCAATCTGGCTCTAAATTGCGTGGTGTGGCTTTGTTTATGGTCATTAATTAAAATTATTTCAAATTTTGCGTCGACAAAACTTCTCAGCCTGGCTTTGCTCAAAAAATAAAAAATTTACCAGCTGCTTCCTCTGGTCAGTCCCAGGCCACTAATCCCACTAGGGTCATCGTACTCTAAGCACTCTGGATCCTGGGTCTTTACACAATGGAAACTCCATTTTCCCTGGATTTGGTTACAGACCAAATTTTATCTATTCTGCTTATATTGTGTTTTTGTAATCGGCACATTTTTAAACTGCCTCATTAATCAGCTGTCAAGCAAACATTGCTATATGACTTTTGTGATAATGTCTTGTAACTGAATCACTTCTCTTTGAAATGTCTCTGCCCTAAAAAGAAATAGACTTTGGAAATAAGAAATCCCCTTTTCTTTTCTCAGTCTGTCTATTGTACTATTCTTTAACTCTTCTCATCTTGTTCCAAGCTATGTTTTTAATTTAACCCCTTTCTTTCAGTTTGTCAGTGTCACAAAACTACCAATTCAGCTTGTGTTGGGGAACTATCCTAATTTACTATCAATTATGAAGAATCAACTCCCAGCCTTAGAAGAGGCAGAAATAAGTGATACAGTTATTAAACATCTCGATGCATTGCATGCAAGAAGAGCTTGCATGAAAGCAGAATCAACAGACAGAATCAAAAGAGCAGTATGCTGCAATGTCAGAACATCAGGAGTGCAAATTTTGCTGGCAGGAGAACACGTGTTTTACAAGAGAGATGACAACAACAGATGGTGTGGTCCAGGTAAAGTTATTGGCCACGATAAGAAAGTTGTTTCATCAGGAATGGAAGCCAGTTAGTCAGAGTTCCAGCATGTAGGGTGATTAATGCAAATGGGACAGAATAAAGGATCAACAAAAAAGAAGCTGATATGACTCATGGTGAAGATAAAGATATCAACCATCCTGAAGAAAATCAGAATGATGAGCTAATAAGTTTAGAAGAATATATACCAGAGTTATGTGACAAAAAGGATAATCAGATATAAGAGCAAGTTTCAGAATCAAGTGCACAATACAAAATGAAAGTAAAAACTGGAGTCACAGAAAATTCCTAGAGTTGATGAAATAATCAAATATCGTTTACCAGAAAGTGAAGAGTGGACTCATGCTAAAGTGATAAGTAGAGGAGGAAAATCCTCAGGAAGAAATAAATATTATGTGAATGTAATGAATGAAAAAGATAAAGAAATGCCAGGAGTACATTTGAGTAAACCAGAATATGAAATAGTGAAAAATGATAACCAAGAAATTGATGACGATAGAAAAGAAAGGAAGAAATTGATGACGGTAGAAAAGAAAGGAAGAAATTGATGACAGTAGAAAAGAAAGGAAGAAATTGATGACAGTAGAAAAGAAAAAGAAGAAAAAAGAAAAGAAGAAATTGATGACGGTAGAAAAGAAAAGGAAGAAATTGATGACGGTAGAAAAGAAAGGAAGAAATTGATGACGGTAGAAAAGAAAGGAAGAAATTGATGACGGTAGAAAAGAAAGGAAGAAATTGATGACAGTAGAAAAGAAAAGAAGAAATTGATGACGGTAGAAAAGAAAAGGAAGAAATTGATGACGGTAGAAAAGAAAGGAAGAAATTGATGACGGTAGAAAAGAAAGGAAGAAATTGATGACGGTAGAAAAGAAAAGGAAGAAATTGATGACGGTAGAAAAGAAAGGAAGAAATTGATGATGATAGAAAAGAAAAGAAAAGAAGAAATTGATGACGGTAGAAAAGAAACAAAGAAATTGATGATGGTAGAAAAGAAACAAAGAAATTGATGATGGTAGAAATGAAGAAATTGATGATGATAGAAATGAAAAAATTGATGACGGTAGAAAAAAAAAGAAATTGATGACGATAGAAAAGAAATTGATGACAGTAGAAATGAAGAAATTGATGACGGTAGAAAAGAAGATGGGCCTACATGTGTGGGAGAGAGTGATCACGACAAAGCAAATGTGATCATTGTGTCAATTGGCAGTCACTGGAAGCCTAAAAGTATCAAGGCAAAGGAGCAGGAACTGGAAAATTAGAGTGTTATTGATGTCTCCGAAGAGGTACAGAAGGGGCCAGAAGACACTGTCAACACACTGGGTAGGGGTGACAGACAAGCCTTTAAATGAAGGAAAGAAACAAGTGAAAGCCAGATTGGTTGTGAGAGGTTTCCAAGAGAGTGTTCAATCAGATTCTCCAGCCACTCGTAAGTCTACACTTAAAATAGACATGGCAGTAGCAGAAAGTAAGGGACCAGATTCGAGAAATTCTAAGATACATGGCATGTATCTTCTGAGAATTTTCCTTTCCAAAATATTTTACCCAAACAATCAACATACCTCCATTATATTGATGATGCTCTATTTATATATCCTCATGATACTGATTTACCTGACCTATTAGATTAACTAAGAATCGAACACAATGTAATTTACATACAAATAGAAGAACACTTCCTTACACTTCCTAGATATCAAGCTACACCACATCAACAACAGTTGAAAACTCATTGTCCACTGGAATCTCTAAGATCTCTAAGAATATGCAGCTTGGATTATTTACACAAAGATAAGAAATACATTGAAAGCACTTTCAAACTTCTTCACTAACCTAATTATTTTATAATCAATCTGAAACAAGAGGCCATAAATTATTCCAAAACAAGAAAACAGCCCTCTCCTGAAAAACTCAATGAAGCAAAAAAATATATTATCCTGCTACTAATTCTATTACATCTACATTCTAAAAGAATCTACCTAAACTCAACATAAAAGTTGTTACGGCTACATACAAAATAATAAAAGACTTAGTCAATACTAAACAGAATAATGAGCTAAAACCTGAAGAAGTTTACTCCATTGTCTGTAATAATTGTCACAAAAAATGAATAAGGGAAAAAAATGCCTCAAGGAATCTAAAAAGATTACATGAACACAAAAGAAACATTTTACAAAATAATTCATCAAATGTGTTGGTTGTCCATCAAAACGAGGCTGACCACAATTTTGACATAAAAAAAATGCTACTCTGATCAAAGGAGAAAATGATTCACTACAACATTTCACCATTCCTGACAGATCTAATATCACAGTGTAGAATACCTATTTACAAAGGTGAGGGAAAGAAAAAGAAAATGACACTAAATGAATTTGGCTAGATAAAAAAAAAAATTATAAAATTCCTAATACCTCTCTGTCATGCACATGTGTAGTCCTACCAACATAATAAAGTTAGTTTGATGAAGCCCTAAAGGATGAAACACCTCACATGTAAACTTTTTCCACTTTGTCATACAATATATATATATATATATATATATAAGGGGACAACCATTTACTAAACAGATTAAGAGCTACATCAGATGATATCCACTTCCTTAGCTCTATACCACAAAAAGTAGATCCGGGAACACTTATGGCAACATTTGACATTATTAGCCTATATAGTGACATACCCCATGGATTAGGTAAAAAGACAATCTCATTCTGGATTGAAAAATACCCAGAAATACTACATCCCAGATTCACCAAGGAATACATTATCAATAGTATAGACCTAATCCAAACCCTAGGTACTGCGATTGGAATGAAAATGGCACTAATATATGCCACTCTAACCTTAGCTTACCTAGAGGAAAACCTCTATAAAAAGATAGAGCAAATATACAGGGATAATATAAAAACCTACTTCACTAAATCTTGGAAATGATACTTAGATGTTTGCTTCATTTTCTGGAAATCCTCATGGGGTGATATTAACCAATTACACAATCTACTCCAAAACTTACACCCAAAGATCAAATTCACCTAAGAATATAATTTTAATGAACTGCCAATCTTAGATATACTCATCAGAAATAGAAATAACCACATTATCACAGATCTACCACAAACCTACAGACACCCAACAATATATTCATTTCAAGAGCCATCACCAAAAAAGCTGTCTAAAATCCATCCCCTATTCCCTATCATGTAGTATTTGCTATATAGTGGCCGACAAACACCTCTGAAAAATCTACCTAGAAAAATTACATAAAACTCTCAAAAACGAGATTACTCCACACCACTAATAAACAAAGGTTTTGAACTAACAGAAAAATACTTTTAGATCAACTATGAAACCCAAAGAAACACAACAACAAACAAATTCTAGTAAACGTCTCAACATACAAGAACAATCCAGAACTATTTGCAGCAATAACAAGAAATCTAGACCTACTTAACCAGAATGATAAAATGAAAGATATACTAAAAACAACCAAAATAATTAAAAGCAAATGCAATCAAAAAACCTAAAACATTAACTTCATCCAAATTTAATCAACACACAATACAAGGAGTCACAAAATGCAACAAGATGTGGGATTTGTGATATCATTATAGAAGGAAACTCCTATCCTTTTGAAAACCCCACAACAACATTCACAATAAAGAAAAACAAACTGCAACGACAAAAATTTGATTTATGCACTCAAGTGCATAAAATGCAACAAATGCTATATAGGTATTACCCAAGCACTAAACAGAGTTTCCCTTCACAAAAGCAACATTAAATTACCAGACGAAAAACTCTGTCACAACACATCCATAAATGTAACAAAAGGTAAATTTAAAATTATGCCAATATATCAAACAGACAATTACTCTTACCTGCAAATACAAGAAAAAAAATTTCAGAAACAAATTAAAACCAGCACTAAACAAATCATAACCCCACAAAAATAAACACACAGCAGCAAAATACACTAGTTGAACCACACACACACTATGCAAAATACATGTAGTTATTGCAGAGATTTCTTTATAATAACATATTATATATATATATATATATATATATATATATATATACACAGTTTTCTTTCTTGTAATCTATATCTTTAAAACAGAAGATGTCTGTGTGTGTGCTATTTATGCACATCCACATTTCTCGACCAATTTTGATGAAATTTTACACATATGTTGCAAATTTACCAAGATAAGTAAGACCAACTTTTCAATCACCAGGCTCCCCGAGTTTAGCAGAAAAAAAAAAAAAAAAAAAAAAATCGATAAAACTGAAGGTAGGTACAACTTTTTGCAAAAACCAAGTCAAAGTTACAAGCGAACAAATTTACTCGATGAGCTAATGTTCTTTGTACTTAATGCACAACATAGCTCATGTTTATATAGAATGCTTGATAATTTTTCCTGTGACACTGGCTTCACACAAAACATTACAAAACATTGTGATTTTCGTACTACTTAAAATAAAAACTTGAATAACATCCACATTTTTTATCCAATTTTCTTCAAACATGTCACAAAAACTTTGACATCATGCAAGAAATAAGATAGCGTGGTTTTTGGTTTTCTCACTTCCCTGCATATAACAAAAAAAAAACACAAAACACTGTTCAAAAAGCCTGTTTTTAGGCCATAATTCCCTGGTTTTTCATCCAATACTTTCCAAATTTGCCATATAAATTACATATGACATACAAATCATTTTGCATGAATGTTTGGTTTAGATTTCAGTTGTGGATGAAATCTCCAACAAACTTGATCCAAAATTGACTTTTGCCATTTAGCCAATAGTTTCTACATAATGATACCATCCTAAATTGGCATTCAAACAACCTTTGATGCAAAGATTGTTTGTGAAGGATTATTGAGGCATTTGTAATGAAAACAGGACAAGAGATTCTGTCTAGTAATCGTTTATTCAATTAAGAATACTACTACTCATCTAACTTGACAGTGGAAGTATACAGCTTTTATAGCTTGGATTATCTAAGAGGAGATAATCCATATTCACAACATTCTCCCCCACCAAATTTCTCACTGATAGGGAAGAAAGTCCCTTAAATGTCCAGGCTCCCTACGAGTTCGCAGTGGCCGCCTCGGCAGTCCATGATTCGTGGTCGGAGTACTTTCGAACAGGGAGGCTCTTCAGTGCGAGCCTGTCTGTGGGCTCTAAAATACTTTTGCTCCGAAATGTTTCCTTCTCAGAGGAGCAGGCCGTTCCGTCCAGAGTCAGTCTCTGGATGAACACGTTTATTCGGTGCTAGCCCTTCATCTGTCAGGGTTTCAGGTGTTGGCCCATCCGGCGTCTGACGGGGCCTCAACGGAGACAGTGTCGTCAGATGGTGTGTCAGGAACAATTTCAGTGCCATGATCTTCTGGAGGGGCTTCAGTGTCAGGGGTAATTGGTCTGTCCTCAGGGGCTATCCACGGTCCGGGTACGTCTCCGGCCGGTGCTAGGTCCCTGAGAGACACATTAGACTCTCTACCATCTGCATGTCGTACTAGTGCGTACTGAGGGTTCGCCTCTATAAGCTCTAACTTGTCCACCAAGGGATCGTTCTTGGTGTAACGTGCATGTTGTCTCAGAAACACAGTACCGGGTCGAGAGAGCCAAGATGGAAGCGAAGCTCCCGCCAAACTCCGTCGCTGAAAAGGTAGAAACCTTTCGTGTGGGGTGGCATTCGTGGCGGTACACAATAGGGAATGAATGGCGTATAATGCGACAGGAAGGAGATTTTCCCAATTATCAATTGAACATCCATTATTTGAGGCAGCCAATTGAACGGTCTTCCAAATAATGCCGTTATATCTTTCGCATTAGCCGTTACCCTTAGGGTTGTCGGGAGTTGTCCGGCTTATAGCTACTCCTCGTTCCTGTATAAATTGCCGAAGCTGCTCTGACATGAAAGAAGCCCCTTGGTCCGAATGTATATAGGCAGGGGCTCCAAAGATGGCGAACAGTGAGCAGAGGCATTGTATAATTGCAGCAGCCGATATGTCTGAACAAGGGAAGGCAAAAGGAAACCATGAATATTCGTCGATAACCGTTAATATATATCTGTTCCTCGTTTTACTTGGTAGCGGTCCTTTAAAATCAAGATTGAGTCTTTCAAATGGTTGTGTTGCTTTTATTAAAAC